GGACTGAAAAAGAATCTGGTCACATTCTGCTGAAATCTCCCGCAGTTTCTTTCAAAATACCTCAAGTCTGCAAGTCTTTTCTCGCAGTTTCAGCCTGGGCTCAGAGTCAGGGCCAAAGTTCAAGCAACATCAAAGTTTATTTTTGAAATAAAGGTTTATTTCCTCATGGAATTCTTGAAGGGTTTGCCCTGCATCATGTGTGTGAAGCATTGAGTCTGGGCTGAAAGGAATTTATTTGAGGACCTTGAGCCGTCTTAGGCTTACACGCCTATTGCCCTAGGAGGTGATTGATGGCTGTGTAAGTTTCCAGTCCACCCCTGGAGGCCCAGCTCTGGGGTACACCCCTCCCCTCTCCGCAGCCCGGGCTGCCTCAAGGGCACAAGCATCCTCTCTCCTCTCAAATCTTGTAGCACTGCTCCACTCCCCCTCTTTTCAAAGTGTGGCGTTACTTAGCATGGGTTTTGTCTGGCTTGTTGATTGAATGTGGGCTCTATTCTGATTGAAAAGCCAAAAGCTGCCAGTTTGCTTTCTTTTGGCTACTTTCTTTGGGCCTATGTGAGGAGAGTTTTTACTGGTGTTCTTAACTGCAGAGCCAAGCCTTAATACCAAAAAGGGTAATAGACAGTTTAAAAAAGAGTCAATCTAGTATTTGCCAATTCTCATTAATTTCTCTTGGTACAGACACTTAAAACCAGGGAACAACAGAATGTTAGAGCTGGGATTGAGGAGCAGCCTTTTGTCTCCTTATTGGCTTTTTTTTTTTTTTTGGTACACGGGCCTCTCACTGTTGTGGCCTCTCCCTTTGCGGAGCACAGGCTCCGGACGTGCAGGCTCAGCGGCCATGGCTCACGGGCCCAGCCGCTCCGCAGCATGTGGGATCTTCCCGGACCGGGGCACGAACCCGTGTCTCCTGCATCTGCAGGCGGACTCTCAACCACTGTGCCACCAGGGAAGCCCGCTAATATTTTTTTCATTCGTAAGGAAAGCATCTTCATGGAGTCTCCTGGCAAGAGGGTGTGGGGTGGAATGCATATTCTTACAGTGTAGATGAAATGATTGACTATAGAGGAATGTCAAGGAGAAAACTGGCATCTCTGCTTAGCCACCAAGATGTTACTATTTGGGTATATTTGAGAGGTAGCAACAGGGGGCACAGCTTTCTTGTTCCTCATGGTGAAGTTAGATGGAGGGCTGCACTGGAAAGCTGGGTAGGCTGTATGGTTTGCTCATAAATTTTCATTTTGCAGCTGTGGAATCTGTCAGCTTGGAGGAAGAGAAAATGGCATATCCTATGTTATTCTTTCAGATTCAGTTTTGATTGAAATTCTAGGTTCTTAGCAGTGGGTAGTTAGGCAGGACAGAAGGTGAGAAGGCCTTGCTGGTCATGAGTGGTCAGCTCTCCCATTTCCCTCCTACCTGTCTGGCCACTCTTTCTTAGTCTCTGCTTCTAGGCCAGACCTAGATCCAATTCCACAGGTGGGCCTTGCTTGGGCTCAGATTGCAACTTGGAGCAGTGACAGGTGAATTACTACAGGCCTGGAGTCTGGGAGCTGGTGGGTGGGTAGAAAGCACCCAGCATTTTCAGATCTGGCTTGGTTGTTAGGGGCCTCTCAGAATGTGCAGTGCCAAGATTTTAGACAAATCAAAGCAAATGTTTCATTCAAGTACTTTCTGGCTATTTGGACCTGGAGACGTGGGTGCAGGTGGGGCGTAGCATCCTTGCCCTTTTCTTGCATCAGGCAGCATTTTGCTCCAGAATCCACAATGATTCTCTATTGCCTGTTGGGCCAAGTTAAATCCTTTAGTAAGGCTCTTCATATCAGGCTCTGCTTCTAGTCCAGCTTCATTTATTCATCATCAACATATATTTTCCAAGTACCACCTGGGTGCCAGTTGTTAGGCTTGGCACTGGAAGCACAGCAGTGAGCAAGACAGACATGGTTCCTGCCCTCATGGAGCTAACAGTCTAGAGGGAGAGACAATATCATGACAAAATAAATATCATTACTGTTAAGCAAGGATGATTGTGAGAATGCTGTGCTGGGGGGTGATGTGGGAGCATGGGGCAGAACCCTTCACCTTAGCTGCTTGCCTGCCCCGGACAGCTTGGCCAAAGTGTGGCACTTCTAGAACCCCAACCCTCCCTCCACAGACTGGAGCCAGACTCCTGTGCTCCTTCCTCAGAGGCTCTCTACATCCAGGCCCACCTCGAGGTCTCACCTTTCCTGTTGGGAAGAGACTGGAGATATGAAGGAACGTGAACATTTATATGTATTCCCTTGACTTCTTCCATGGGACGTGCAGTGTGGGTCTGGCCCTGGGAAGGGAGGAGGGGCTCTGTTCTGAGGTGGCCCCTTTGCAAGTCCTTGATGTTTCCTTGATGAAAGCCAGGGCCAGTGCACTGAAGAGGCTGGAGTGAGCAGACTCAGCTGGGGGAAGGGCGTGGCGCTAAAGCTGATTTGCTTGGAGTTGAGCTTGTTATTAGAGAGCCCTGAAAGATTCATCAGCTTCAGGAATCAGAGTAGTGAGGGTGGCTCAGACACCAGGCCTGAGCCAGGCCTGTCACCCTCTGGCAGTGAAGCTCTGTCCACACAGTCTCCTTCAATCTGCTGGTACTTCATTTCTTTTTCTCCAGAACGGAGATCAGTCTAAACAGCCCATAGGTCAAGGAAAACTAGCCCTGGAGAGTACAGCCAAGTCCCTACTTCCTGCCAGTCAGTCACCCTCTTGGCTCAGGTTTGAGTTTGCCAAATAGAGAATTTCAGGTCTTCATTCCGCAACTTGATTTTACAGTTCAGAAAAGGGGCTGTCTTTTGCCCACTTATTTATTCTTCTTTGAATTAGAACCCAACTTTTCTAGTATTCGTGTTCCAAATTACTGAACCAGGGATAGCTATTTACTGAAAAGGGTAATCAGATTACTCTTTATTTTTTTTGGCAGCGTGGCATGCAGGATCTTAGCTCTCCGACCAGGGATCCAACCCGTGCCCTCTTCAGTGGGAGCACGGAGTCTTAACCACTGGACTGCTGGGGAAATCTGAGATTACTTTTAACTAGTTGTAGCACCTTGAACTGCTTAAGAGACAATTCTCTGAAGGAATGAATGAAAACAGGCCACGCTCAGGATCATTAGTGCAGACACACATATTCTTTTCAAGGTGTTTTACTAAGACTATAAGGGATTATAAGGATGGGAACATTTTTAGGAGGAAAGATGAGGGAAGAATTACCAAAAGGAAGAAGTGGAACCACACCAAAGTCAAAGAAGTGAGAGGAGAATCAGATGGGAACTCGGTGTGTCGAAAATAAGTGTTCTGAGTGGAAACTCCCTAAGGGCACAGGGACATATGCACACTCGGGCACTCTGCTTTTCTGAGGATGCCAGTATCCCCCGTCTTCTACCTTCTACAATGAAGAGAAATCAGGATTTGACCACAGTGTTGCCAGTACTGAAAGCGCACCCCAGCTCCTGTACTTCAGTGGACATCCCAGGAGCCCATTATGGCCAGAGACAGAGTCCATCTCAGCCAGTAGGCCTTGCCAAGAGGAGAGGGCCCTGGGCTCCCTTTTGGCTTAAAATATAGACCGGTGGCCCTCTATCTGAACTGAATCTGTTGTTCCAGAGAATGGGTTTGTTTTCATTCATTCATTCATTCCAGATCCTTTACAGTAGTCCAGGACTCCCCAGAGACACTGCCCTCCTGAGCAGTCGAGTAAGATATTTGGTTCTTTCCCCTTCATTTCCAAGTTCCTGGGCACTAGAAGGCTGTACTCACAGTCTAGTCGTATAGTCCGTGCGTGGCACTGAGTACATGCTTCGGAAAGGGAATCTAGATGAATGAGGTCAGACTATTCGACGGGTCTCCGATGGTTACTAGCTGGTGTGGGCACGGGTGCCCTTGAATTTCTAGTATTTACGAAGAAAGAGTTTAAATGAAAACAACAACAACGACGACGAAAAAACAAAACACACACCAAAGCGGAAAACTTTAACCATCAGTACTGGGACTGGAGCTGCACAGGAGGACGCGGGCACACATACTGTACCGAACGAACATCACACATACACACCCCACTCACGCAGACATTCCTTCTTTCACGCTCCAGCTCGATCTTTTTACTCCTACTTCCCTTTGCCTCCTCTCCCGGATCAAGCATTAATCTGTGAGTCTCTGACAGCAAAAGAAAAAAAAAAAAGGTGGGTGGGGGGATCCCGAAGTAGCAGAGCGAGGGAGGAGGAGGTGGAGAAAGGCGGGGAGGAGGAGGAGCCCAGCGAACCAGAGTCAGAGGGACTGGTGGCTCCGGCGAGTGTGCAGCCCCGGGGGGAGACGGCGCTCCAGGCTGGGAACCCGTCATCCCGCCCACCGGCCCGGCGTCTTTGGCGCCCGCCCGGTGTCTTTGGCGCCTGCCCGCTCGCCGGCCCGCGCCCAGGGGCCTGCTATACCCGGAGCTGGGGCCGCCCCTCAGGGGCGCTCAGGCCAGGGGTGCCGCTCGGGGCGAGCCGGCCGCGCCGCCAGGCTGGTCCCCCGCGACCGCGCCCGCGCCCGGGATGCCGTTCTACAGGCGCACAGTGGTACCCCAGCGCCTGTGTCCGCGCAACCCACCGCAGCCGCTGACCGAGCTCCGCGACGTGAGCCACCTGGCCGCGCTCAGCCTGCTCCGGCAGCTCGCCGACCTCTGCGGCCACTCGCTGGCTCTGCTCGAGGACCTCGAGGGGCACCTGCTGGCCCTGGGGCGCCGTACCGACAGCCTGTTCCGCCGCACCGTACACCTCCGCCGCCGCCTTCCCTGCCGCCTGCTCGGCCCGGAGGACGACGAGGAAGAGCTAGGTAAGCCGCGCCCGGGCGGCTTGGCGCCTGCCCGCTCGCCGGCCCGCGCCCAGGGGCCTGCTATACCCGGAGCTGGGGCCGCCCCTCAGGGGCGCTCAGGCCAGGGGTGCCGCTCGGGGCGAGCCGGCCGCGCCGCCAGGCTGGTCCCCCGCGACCGCGCCCGCGCCCGGGATGCCGTTCTACAGGCGCACAGTGGTACCCCAGCGCCTGTGTCCGCGCAACCCACCGCAGCCGCTGACCGAGCTCCGCGACGTGAGCCACCTGGCCGCGCTCAGCCTGCTCCGGCAGCTCGCCGACCTCTGCGGCCACTCGCTGGCTCTGCTCGAGGACCTCGAGGGGCACCTGCTGGCCCTGGGGCGCCGTACCGACAGCCTGTTCCGCCGCACCGTACACCTCCGCCGCCGCCTTCCCTGCCGCCTGCTCGGCCCGGAGGACGACGAGGAAGAGCTAGGTAAGCCGCGCCCGGGCGGCCCGCGGCCCCGCGTGCACCCCGCCTCTGGGGGCGCCAGCCCGCGCCCGCTCTGCGCCCACCCCTCCCCCGTCCTCCCCACCCCTCCTCGGCCCTCCCCTCCCTTCCCCTCAGGGAACGAGGGGATCCCGTTTCCCAGATTCCACGCCTGCCGCACTCCAGCTGGAACTTCCTGCTCCTGGATCCGGTTGCGCCGTCCCGAGTGGCCATATGCCCTCGGGGTTCCCGGCCCTGGGGTTGGCGGCCGCCTTCTGGGGATCTTGGGGAAGAAGGCAGGGGGACCTGCGGGGGTCCCCGGGAGCTGCTGGGTCCGGACCGCTTCGGCGCCGCCCCCAGGCCCGAGGCGTCCTAGCCTTCGCGGAGTCGGGAACCAAATGGCCGCGCCGCTGGCGTCTTTGCTCCAGTCTAGGAGCTCAGTCACTTCGGAAAGCGCGCCGGAGCCGCCGGCCACCTACGCGGAGGCAGGAGCCCTGGCGGGCGGTGCCTACCGACTTTAAACCTGTGCAACTTCGTGCTGGAGTGTGATCGCGGCTCTCGCTCGAAGAAGCGTCTGAGAGCCCACCCACCCGCTTCTCCCCGCGAGTTCGGAGCTGGTGCTCCAGGAGAGGCCGGAGGGTGTGGTGGGGAGGAGAGACTCTCCGCCTCCCAGCCGGCTTCTCTGACCCCTTACCCCTAGGGTCCGGCTGCACAGACTTGCTTGGGAGAACCGTTTAAAGCAACTGTCATCAGTTCTGTGATACCTTTAGAAATCAGCCATGCCTGAGACACCCAGTGGTGCTCTGGCTGAGCACGCAGGACTCGTGAGAGGGCAGGAGGGCAACGCGAGCCCTTGTGCTTTACTACTTTGGACCCCAACACTTTGCATGGGGAATCCTCTCTCCATGGAAATGCTGTGATCCTTTAGAGTGTGGGACTTTTGGAGAAAGCAAGGGGATTGAATGTGCTGGAAGTGTTGACCTCAGCTGGGGCATGCCAGGTACCAGGGCCAATTGGTGCCACCAGAAAGTTAGGGGAGAGAAAGAGCAGTGTGGACAGGAAGTTTCAGATGGAGGCAGAATATGGCTACTGACTGACTTGTGATTGCAGGCCTCCAGCTGCCTTGGGAAAGAAGTGTCTGAGTCAGCCCCTCTCCATTGCAGACCTCACCTCCCTCCTACGCCTTCCACAGAATAGGTGTCGTAGGCCCTGGCACCCCTTTTCCCAAAACTCTCTGACCTCTGATGTTGATGGTGGAGGTCACTTGTGGAGAAAATGAACTGGGTCCTGTGGGGAAAGGAAGGTGGAAGACACAGTTGACTGCCAGGTGGAACGTAGACATGGGACCAGAAATCTGCATGGCAGGGGAGCAGAAAAGCTGGGGCCTTAGGTCTGGTTAGTTCTCAGTTAACAGAGAGGGTAGGAAGGTCATTGCTGATTTTTTTTTTCTGAGGTCCCACTGACTACCAGGATTAGCCTAGGAGAAATTTGATAAGTCAGCTTGGGGAGTCATTTTCCAAATCCCCACACAGCTTGCAGAGAGCCACCTACTGAGTGCAGCAGGGTAAGTTAAGGACAGTGAGGAGGCTCTACTTTTCCAGTTTGCACCTTTCTGTCCTTTCCATGTGAGGGAAGGAATGGCTTCACCAAGTTGCCTTGGGAAAGAGATGGCTTCATGCAGTGGAGAGCTCTTAAAGGAAGGGAGCAATTCTTAGGATAAATTGCATTGGGTTGGCTTCTTTGAAATTTGCAAGAGCTGGGAGAGTGGCTATCTCTCATCTTTGGTGTGGCTACTTGCCTTTGAGAGTGTACCTATCTGCAGGCTCAGGTACTGAGGTGCCTGCTGCGTAAATGGAACACAGCTACCTTAATTTGGCAACAAGTTCTGGTTTTCCATTTTCTGGTCTAATGCCCTACCCTAGACTCCGCTTGAGGTTCCCACTGCACACTTTTCTCTTCAGGAGTTTTGATTGTGTAGCACTTAAATTAGGCCTTCTCAGCAATGATCTGAGCACAAGTGCCAAATGCAAAGGGAGCTGGGGCGCATAATCAGTACACCACCTGGCCACCCCCGTGTCGCTCAGGCATAAGCTTCAACAAGGTGTTCAAGCAGGTTGCATATTATATTTTGAACCTAATTAAAAATGCTTTTTTTTCCCCCCACCATTGTCAAGGCTTGCTCTTTTCTTCCCTGTATCTTTTCCTCCTAGCTCCTACTCCATTACTGACCATTTTGCTGGTGGTGGGCACTCCCAGTCAGCATTTTACCCTGTATATCCTCTATCTGGCTGGATTTCCCCCAGATTCTTGCTCTAGCTGTTTCTTTGGTCATGAGGGCAGGAAAGAACTGGGAAGGAAGGTTTGGAAGCAACATGGCCAGAGTGAATGACGCCTGACAGGCCAGCAGTTTGTAGCCTCCTGTGGGGACAGCTTGGCTGCCACCTCCGGACTGAGTAATGACAAGTCAGACTGGCCCATAGACTTCAGGCTTGCAGAGACCAGACTGAAGGCTGGGCCGGGCAGGGAGGCAGCAGGGGGAGGACAGGGAGAGGAGAGGGAGAAAGACAGAGGAGGAGAAAGTTGATGCTAAAGGAGTCCACGGTGTTCCTCTCCACAATCAGGGGTGGTGTCCCCACCATCTTCAAGGTCACAAGGGTGGGACTGGGCTGGGCTGGTTGCCTGGCAACACCCTCTTCTCCACTGAAGGCTGTTCTTCAGTAATTTGAACCCCTTTGAGACTGCCCCAGAAGCTCTTGTAACTGTTCTGGGGTGGGGGATGGGGGTTGGAAAAAGGAGAGGGCGTGTTTCAGGACTGCACCAGGCTCCTCTGGTTGTGGATCTGTAGCTGTTGCCGCACCCTTGGCATAACCCTGCCTATAACTTGCGTTTTTCCTCACATCTGGCTTTGAATGTGACCCGCTTTATTGCATTCGTGTCCTGGATTCTGTACTCTTCATCTCAAGAATGGCATGGTCAAAGCCAGTGGGAAATAGCTCCATTCCTGCCACCATATGCTGAGTCAATCCAAGCTTTCCAATTTCTCCCTCAAACATCTATTTAATGTTTGTAGGTGCTTAAATGATAATTACAAAAGCAATCAGGCCATTGGCCTGGGGGTATATCTCCTGTGCAAGCAAGGAAGTCACTGAAGCACTAGACAATGGCTAGGTATGTTTAATAACACTGGGGAGCTATCATGTTACACTAGCCCATGAACTTGCTGTGGGAAAGATGCTCTGTTCCTTCTTGGCAATGATTTTGGCTTGAATACAGCCAGTTGGGTAGATGGTGGAAACTCCCTCTTCACCTTTATGTAAAATTCCTGCCTCTTGATTTTCCAACTTTGTGGCAACTCTGGCTCCGAATCATAAAGGACAGCTGGTTTATGTATATTTAAATCATAATTCCAGTGTGAGGGGAGACTGTTGTAAGTCTATATGGAGATGAAGAATGGAAACTTCACCTCTAGACTGCAGTCAGTTTATCAATAGATGAGGTATGGTAGACCCTGAACCTGACTGTCATGGCTACTGAGGAGGGGCCTGCTTGAGCTGGATGGAGCAGGAGGAGCTTGGAGGACTTGGAACAGGCACTCTACCAGGGCTCAGTTTTGTCTCTGTCCTACATGTCAGCCCCAGAAACTGTTGAGACAGTTGGCTTGACAGAGTGGGGAGGGGGAGCAAGCCCATTTTCTTTTAAGTACCATGAAATTCCTGGTCTGCTTCATGGTATTTCCATGTGTTGAAAACATCTTCCCTGGAAATTTGGACACCGAAATGTCCACTAGAATTTCCTCTGCTTTAGAAACAAGAAATTTAATCTTCTCCTTTTTTTAGATACATCAACAGCTAAAGCGATAAAAACGTCAGGATGACAGAATAGTAGAGTAATAGGAGAGGATTTAAATTATAGCTCTTGGGCTCAATTTTGATCTTTATGGAGTTGATTAGGTGTCAGGAGGAGGGCAGTGAATTTGTATCATTTGTCTCTGTACTTCTCTGGCTCGGGTGGAGTCAGTTTGTACTTTGTGACCCCAAAAATTTGGTCATTAACCATTATGGGCACCATAATACTTGACTACTGAGGCCCAGAAAAAGGAAGGGACTTGTCCAAAGGCACCCAGCTGGATCAAGACCTTTAGTAGCCCTAAGTGCTGGAAAGATTATAGTGCCTCTCCATACCTAATTCCAAATGAAACAATATTAAACCTTCAAATAAAATTTTATTTTAAAAGATTACTTGAAGTTCCACCTGTATGTTGAAATTAAAATGGCTTTTTATTAGGTTCTTTTATTCTCTCTCTCTTTTGTACTCCTGTTGTTGGTGCCCTAAGCATGGACTTAATCTGCCTCTTGGGGAATGTGGCACTGGCTAAGTCACACAGCAGGTCAGTGGCATGAGGCCTTGATCTAGAAGCCAGGGCTTCTGCCATCCAAGCCAGTGCTCTGCCCTCTTCAGGGATGCTAAGTTCAAAGTCAGTTGTTCATTGAGAGTCACTGCCGTGGCGTTTTTTCTAGCTGGAACTTGTTCAGGATAAGGAGTAACTACTGCTACCTTTGGGAACTGAGGGGTTCTCTAGAGAACAGGCCTCCTGGGGTTTCTGCAGTTGGGACTTGGGGGTTGAGATGGAGGTGAAGAGGAGGAAGGAAGGTCAACCTTGCATCATGTAGAGAATAGATGTGAGGCAAGAGGCTCCCTTGTTAAAACAGTCTCCTTTAAGCTTTCAGTAGAAATAGCCTTGGAAAAATAATCTTTAGTTGGGAAGGGGTGGCTGGGCTAGTGACACTGACAGTCTTCTGAAGGTCACCTTTCCATTGGATCTTTCCCTCACAATCCTTCTGTCATCTTTATACTTGCTATTCTCCCTGATAGCCTTTAATCCAACTGTGGACACATCTTATCACACACCCACGTCCTGACTATTTTCTGTTATTACAGCAGAGCCTGGTTGGCATTTCCAAAGGTACTTTTATTAAAAGCCAAGGGGAATGAGAAAGTAAAATTAT